ATCACCCACCAATATTTACAAGCGGCTCCTGCTCAGGAGTGGGTCCCAGCTACCTCACTTCAATAGTTACTTTGTACAGTTTTGCAGCATGGATACCAGTCGGGCTGAAGCCCCAGTTCACTCAGTGTAACGTGCACACTGCACATTCGTGGAAGCTGAGTGTTATATGAATTCTCGCTTGTTATATAATCCCTTCTAAAATAAGTTCACGCGCTGAAGAGCAAGATTTTAAGCACTCGCACACATCCCATCTCATACCCATACTGTCGTCCATCCATGTCCAACCACACAGGTCCACTATGGACCACTAGTGGTTCTCTACACATGTTTCAGGTCCATGTCCCTGTCACATCGTTCAGAAACCTTCACAAACACCAAAAACAAACAGCATCTTCATTGATAAGTCAGGGCCGGTACGAAAACCACTAAGTCGGTACCTTCCCTTCCAACCCATCAGATACCTTCCCTTCCACGTCGTATCACCCTCCACCTCCCCTGACCCCTGGTGACCCCAGGTGGTGGCCTCGCTGAAGAGCCTCCTCGGCGAGTGGCTCGGTGACCAAGGCCGGACCATCCGCCGCGAGTGGCTCGGGGACGGCGGGGCGGGGTTGGGGGACCGTGATGGGTCGGTGGTTGGAGGCATTTGGTTGACCTCGTTTATTTGTTTGGGGGGGGAGAACAAGTGTATGGAAGCCTTTTGTATCCTTTTGTACATGCTTAGTGAGGATGTGGCTGTACTACAGCGTTCTTACGGAGTAGAAAGAATATATAGATCATAGTCAACCTGCGCGGGCATGGACAAACACAAGCAATGAATGATCCCTATTATTATTATTATCATTAATATGTTTTTTCGATCCCTTACCCCAAGTGAATCGTCCAGTCCAACTCTCAATTATGCGTGTTTGTGTTGTCCTTTCTCGATAGATTGTTCCGCTTGAACCATTTCGTTCCCCAGTATGCTGACTGTATAGTCTAATAGTCAGTGAATATATTATGTGAATATAGATATTCTCATCACTGCTGCATGCAATGCCAAGAACCACATGTGCGAGATGTGTCTTTGTTTCCCAGTGTGCCAGGTGAGCGCTACAACTTGGCGCTCTCACGGGATGAGAAATCCATTCTGTGTTCTCAGGCGCCGTGGCGCCGATCGATGCCGAGCGAGTCCTTATACGATCGGAGCGACAGATGTCGCAAAGGTCATCACAACGAACGCAGCGATCGGACGCTACGAACGGGGCTCCTGACCTTGCGACTAGGAGCAAGGTTCGCTACTAGTAACAAGAATGACAAATGATGACGTTGGCATGCGGACGCGTGGCACGGCATGAGGTACTTCAGCATTCAAGTATTGTGAGGCTGCCATTGCCATGCTCGTGATTTCAAGTTCAAGACTCCCTTGTTCACCAGATGCTTTGTGAACTGCAGGAGGATAAGAATGAGCCTGTGACGTTTTTCTTTGATCTAAGAGACAGGCGAGGAGAATGAGAGCAGGGATGGGACAAATTCAGCTGTTTTGACTGAGAAATATATGTCGTAATAATCTAAATAAATCAATATAATAGATACTCCAGATGGATGAGCACAGTTGAGACAATTGGGAGGGGTTGCGTCCATCCCAGAGCAAATGACAGACGGTTTAGTGTCATCAAGCTGCTGTTCGACCAGTAGCTTCCACGCTGCTTGGTCAAGAATAATAGCCTGGACGAGGAGTTGGCAAGAAATGCACAGTGTAGTAGATTCATTTAGGATGGCATCGGAGCAGCAAATCAATCAACTGAAAAACACAAAACAAAAACACATTGGGATGTGAAGTGCTGCCAAAGCAGATGTTGGCATCTAATGGAGTATGGACCAAACTTGGGATATGCTCCTTTCATCTCCTTTCTGCTGCACGCGTCTTTGCCTAGAGACTTATTCTGAACGAAAAAGGTATTTCTTGTTCTTGAGTGTTCTTCAAATGAGGGACAGCAGAGAAGCAGCAGTTTCCTGGCCGGCCGCAGGCTGGTGTGGTGGGGAAAGGACCGATCCTATTTCCTCGATTTGCCGCAGCCTTAGTGATGCAAGTCAAAAAGCTCTGCCCAGTGCTCTGCCCTTAGGAACCCATCCCTTGGGCAGATGAAAGCAGTACCAAACCATTGGCAATAGGTGCGTGGTCCCCAGTCCCTAAGCCTCAGTCTACGTAGTCTAAGTCTCCTTAGACTTGACCCACAACACACACCGCTTGTCCCACAAGCTCCTTGCGCAGCACCGCTGTTGCTTCGGTTTACACAGCCAGCAAGCATGACATGGACGGACACGACTACACGACCTCCGAGAGGGGATCACTGCTTCACGACCTCATCGAACAAACAAAAAGGAACTCAAGACGGACCCATGTGAAACACAAAATGACTTTAGAGATCCAACACGAGCGGACCTGGCATTTCATGACCATGCTTCTCCCAATCTGGAACATTCCCACTTATAGTGAAAGAACGTGTTCCATTGTTCAATCGTCTTTTGGCATCTCTGACATCTCGGGTTCATCGTAAAAATGGGAACAGCGATTTTCCATGGGTTCGTTTGGGACGGCCCCAGCCGGGATACTCGGGCGCGACCGGTGTTCACTCGCAGGTCGGAGTGGGACGCCGAGCGTCTCACCTGGCACGACTCCGGCAACGGCACGGCCAAGAGGCCCTCTGGTCTGCAAGAAGCTTTTAGTAGCTCCTGGCATTACTACTACGAACAAGAAGCTACTATAGTAACAAGGGCATCGCGACTAGTAGCAAGAAGCTACTAATAGCGATGCGAGTTTGCTGCGCCGCTGCACGCGACAGCCACCGGGGCGGAGTAGCCTGTGTGGCATTTTTGTCCATCCAACTGGCGCCGGTAAACTGGTGCCACGATCTATGCAAGTGGTTTCTACACGAGACCATGCTTTCAAGCACCTGCAGTTGGTCATGCGGTCATGCACGTTTTCCTGCCTTGGAATACACTGTACTGCCGTCTCTCTTCTCTATCTTCTCTCTCTCTCTCTCTCTTTGTACTGCCACCTTTAGGTCCTCTTGCAGAACAAACAGTCAACATTGAGCGTCACTCTGAGCATCGGTGTCGGTTGCGCGTTCGAACATCGCCACCGAGGTCTGTCATGGAGTGGCGCAGAGGCCGCTTCGTCCGGGGCACGTCTGACGGCGCAGAAACCGGGCCTCTCCCGTGGAGTCCTGGGAGTGGGGACAAAGATTGAAAGCATGTCCAGGGCATCCACGCAGTCCCCACGAGAGCTCGTAACCAGTTCCAAAGACATCCAAATGACTAGGCAGCCCTGGTTCCTTATATAGTGGTAACGTGAATAACATGTGGTCACTGCGATCCGATGTACCTTCCAAAGCTTGCGATAAAACCAGGACACCGTCCGTGTTTCCAGGTCCCCCGAGCGAGAAGATCGTGCGGGTCAAGCGCTGGTCCGGTGCGTCCGGGCGCTCGAAGCGGGAGCGACTGGAGACACTGGAGACCAGACCTGGATGGAGAACAGAGTGGGGAACCAGTTGAACCCAAACACACCCGTTTGATCCCGTTGGATTCGTCAAGCTGATCCATTTTGGGGCATGTGGAAATTGACTAAGAGCCACAAGCATAGCAGCAGCTTTTGGCTGATCCTTAGCTACTAGACTAGTGTCCGGCTGTTTGACATGTCACAGCATACCATGCATACCTGATTTAGCAAATGTATGGCAAATACAGTTTAGTTATGCTTAGTTATGAAGGGGCATTGCCTTGATAGTCCCAACTTGTCCCAACTTTGGGTTGAAAGAGTTTGCCATATTACTCAAAATCATCCTTCGGCTAGTTTGCTGTATTGTTCAACGCTTTGATTTAAACACTTCTTGCCACCCCAAAACCTTCCACAGCACACGGATGTGCCGACCTCATGTTGAAATGTTCCGTTCTGACCTTCTTGAGGAAGAAGAAGGTGGGAACATTCCAAGTGAGGACTCATTTTGGGGGACCGATCCTTGAGTCAGTGATTTAGAGTTTGCAAAATGGCCGGTGATCCTTCCACTTGAGTCATCCACTCCGTGCGGTGGATCGTGCTTCGCATCCACCCGTCGCCTGGCTCGCTTCCGTCCTCCGAACACTTCGGTGCTCCGCTTAGGGCAAAGCCTGAACAGGAGGCAGGATGGCAGGATGGGGATGGGAGATGATGGGAGTGCTTTGCATGTTCCTGGACACCTGGGTGGATCTTCACCTGCTAACAGATGGGGCGAAACAGAATGGAAGAATGCACGGCCAGACACGGCAACACACCGCTTCGCAGAGCGAAACATCCGAATGTCACGACTGCAGGGGTCGGGGTGGTTCGAGAGACCCTTTTTCACCTCTACTATATAAAGTTCATTCATGGACCCTATTTCGGGGTCCAACTACCTTCTCTGTTTGGGGGGGGGGTTTTGGAGCCCTAGCTAGGGTTCTTGAAAGCTTTCAATCGCTTTGTTCCTTTGAATCATTGTTTTCCCCAAACTCGATCCAACCGTCGGTTCCTCAGATGACGAGTTTTTGTTTAAAAAAATTTTTTGGTTGCTTTTTTTCCCTGCCGGAACGTGTGGTGAAGCCTCCATTGCTGTTGGATTCCTGCCGTATTTTTGCTTGGCTGGTCCGAAGTCAAGACTTGCATGAGCACTGTACAATGAGGCAAACAAACAATACGCCACCTGACTATATGGAACCTTTTCATATTTACAAAAGGAATTGAAAGGATACAAACGGCACTCATGTGCAAGCAAGTCTGCAGAGTGGATCGGTACGCACGGCACGTACCGTTTTTTGTTGACGTGCACAGAAGCAAGTCGGTTGAGACAGTAACATAAACAACCATGGACCATAAACAACTCGACCCATAAGCAAGTCGGTTGTCCATTTGTGGACCCAGTAACATTATGGTTTGAGAATGTTTGAGATATTCAACACATAATCTGAGTGCTGAACCAGCACCATGGCGGAAATCCAGGACTTTGCTCATGTGGCAGAATTGGCTGGCCCTCATTTGGGTCCAAGCGGCGGAAGGATGGCTAGGCACCTGTTTCGTGGATATGCCTCACATGGCACACTGCTGCGATCAACCAAAACGTTGCTTTGGCCAAGGCAAAGATGTTCCAAACCAGACTGCTGAGGAGTGCTGCGGTCTGAACTTTCAAACACTATTGATTAATTCAGTGGCCAAAGAGTTGCGTGCAACAGAAGACTTGGATACTTTGCGACAGATCTATGCTGTCTTGCAGGCGTTTTTACACTTCGTCAATCACGGACATATATATGCTTGGGAGTTGATTGCTCAGACAGCCGGAAAAGTTGCTCTTGCTGCATACAATGATTTTGCTTCAATGGCCAACGAACTTGGTGAAGACATGTTCAAGAGCCAAAAATTGCTTGTCATGAGGGAGATCAACCATGCGGCGCACTTGCTTGAGAACTTCTTTCAAGCTGCTTGGTACCATCACGCCCAGGAGACCGGTCGATCTGCCATCGAAACCGACATCACTGAAGTCCGCCCAAAGTTTCAAAATGCATTACAGATCTACAAAGTGGTCCAGGAGGCAGGGAGCAACCTCATTTACGACCAGGCTGAGGCCCATGACCCTAGAACTTTTGCCCCTCGTCATTTGGCCAAGTCTCCGGAAATCGTATTGGTGGTGAATGTCGTGGGTTCTTGGGCATCAGTGGGCATCGTAACCTTTTGGAGTATTTTGCGACACCGAAGTACTCCATTGCGGGTCTTCGTTCTTGGTGACCAACAGGGCATTCGAGAATGGCGTTTGTTGATAAAGGAGGTGAAAGTTGCGGTGCCGCACTTTGTCCATAAGCTGCGCTTCCATTATGTGGATATCTTCCAGCACCCTCGCATGACCGCATACTTTGCGCGACTTCCATCCGAGTGTGCGAGCACGAACATGAGCAAAGCCCTGTATGCTCGTATGCTGTGCCACGAGATTCTGCCAGAGGACGTCGATCGAGCCATTGCGCTAGATCTTGGAGATATCATCGTTTTTAGGGACATCCTGGACTTGTGGAACCAGGGTGACTTGCTGGAAGCTGATGAGCTCTTGGCTGCAGCGTCGCACCGCTCTGCGGAGGAAGCGATGCGTCAAACCAAGCCTTCGATGCTCAACGGTGGCGTGGTGCTCTATGAGGTCCGTCGCATGCGTAGCTCAAACTATACCGAAGACACGCTCAAAGCTGCAGCTTTGGGCTTGGACAAGGGCTATCAGCATTTCTGCATCTGGGACCAGGACCAGTTCGCCTCTATAGCTGTTCGCGTGAAGGTGTTGTTCATGTTGTTTTGCAAGCACCCAGTGCTTTTGGTGTTTCTATGTGTTAACATAGTTAACTTGCACTTTTCAGGATATTATCAATGCCTTGCGGCAAGATGTGTGGGGCATGGCAGGCGTCCGAGTGCTTCCATGTCGTTGGTCCATTTTCCCAATGGCGAATTGGCAGTTCTTCTGGAACGCTCCCAACTTTTGGCTCCCTGAGCTGAGGCAGATGCGCCGCTACCCTGGCATCTTGGCATGGGACCACGTCGAAGCTGTGCCTACATGGTTTCAGAGATTTTTGTTTTTCAACCTGGAAAACTTGGGATGATCCTGTTGATGGACGCACTGTTAAAGAGGGAGCGCGAGGGTATACATGGGTGTGTTCTTCCAGTGGTGCAGGATTTTGTCCATCAACCGGATGGTTCACTCATTTTTGTTCATGTTAATTGAATCCACCAAACCAGGAACACTTTTGCCCCAACCCCATCCTCATGTTGCACACGGTCTTCGCCTTTGGGTCCTTTAAAGATCGGAAGCTGGCACGCAATGTGGCCATGGTCCAAGGGATTCGGAATGAACAGCCGGGCTCAGTGATCCAGGCGCCTGATGGGAGCGGGTTCTGCAGCTGTCGAGAAGAAGCATCCTTGCTCCATGTGCCTTCAACCATGAAGCTGTGGCCCGAGGCGCAGAAACTCTTTCGATTTCATCGCCCAAGCTTTCTACCAGAGGTGGATCAGGCAGCCCTCTTCCAATCTCGAAGCGAGCAAGGTGCGTCGTTCAGAAGCGAGCAAGCTGTCCAACATGTGGAGTCTATGAGGTTATGATCCTGTAAGTATGTCTAGAGTCTAGAATGGTTGATTAATAATGATTAATATATACAGTAGATTGAGAGAATTGTTGAGGACCTGGTTGGTTTCACTCTTCAACTCGCTTTGCTCCAATCGCCCCCCCTCTCGCCCCCATGGAGGTGAGGAAGTCGGAGGTGGCTTTTGGGGCTCTGAGGGAAGCAAGGATTTGGAGGTGATGAGGCAAGGCACTCTCCAGTGGGCAATGAATAGTGGTGCATCAGTCGTGTCGGGGAACTGCGCCACAATGCCCACCTCTTTGGGGCATTATGCGGATGTGGAACTTCCAGCGATGGGCTCGAACTTGCTTTTGAAGGCTGAGACGAATGCCGACGTGGATGCCCACTTGTTTATCGGAAAGATTGTGCCAATTCTGGATGGCATTTTCGCCGTAGGCTTCTTGCTTTCAGGTAAGAGTCTTTTGATGAGTCTTGCATTGCATGTGTGAAGCTACAAGAATGTCATGGCAATGCGATACAACCGTACTTATTGGTGCCCACACAGATAACTGTACAAGTTTGTACTATGCATCTTTGGGCGGGGCCCAATGCTTATGTGTTTTTCTTATGAACTAAAACCTGTGCATGCCAGATGCCATCGTGCAATGTGCATGCCTAAATAGTCAGATGATTCATGGCTACTGCGACTCGGTGTATGTTGCTACCTGTACTGTGTTTGAGTGTCCGGATGTGTCAATGTATAGCATTCCAGTTGTCAATTGGTCTTGGAAGGCCTGCTTTCTAAAAAGGTAAGATGGTTACAGTTTACTGGTAACATATCCCATGGCTCCTTGTTGGGATCGAGAATTCAAGGCTTGGAGTTGGCGGTGGATGCCTTCAACAAGACCCGCACCTTGCTCCGCTGGGGCATTCAAGGCGAAACGCTGGGCGTCCACGAGGGGCCGATTCTGGAACCTCCCACGTCCAAGTTCTGGGTCCTCGTCAGTGGCGGACAAGCCACTGGGACCAAAACATGTCAGTGATGCAAAAAGGGATGGGAATGGATGGGAGGGGACGGGAGGCTGATTGGGATGATAAAAATAAAGTTAAAAGGCAAAGACTCTCTCTCTATATATATATTAATATCAGATATCAATGTGTTTTGTCAATGCTTCTTCAGTAGAGAAACACTGAACAGTAACCGATCCAAACCTTCCCAGGAGGGTGTTGCTTGTTTTTTTTTGGAGGTTAGGAGGTGATTGAGGTTTGCTATAGAATTCCAGTCCTGGCTCAGTCCAGGGTGTGTCGAGCAGCATCGTTTGCTCATTTTGCTGTGCACAACGGCGCTGTCTTCGATCTCACATTATCCGGCAAAGGCAACACTCCCCCGTCCTTCTTTCTGAACTAAGTACTGTAGGCGCCTATAGTTAAGTAGGGGAGAGGTAGCTAGAGTACCTGTGTTAAGTCGTTTGGTCTTGTAGAAAGTCGTTTGGATGCTGCGTTTCCGTTGGGGTTAGATGCAAGATGGCAATATAACTGGAAGACGAACCCGACATAAAATTGCAAACTTCGACATAAAACCAGTTCTTTCCTGCACAGGGGCATTGAATTCTTGATGTATAGCAGTTTTGACAAACATACTTCCGCAGAGCGTTTGCATTGTGTTTTAGCATAAAACGAGTGACTTTTGACTAATGCTGCGTTTCCATGCGACCAGGTGACTTTCTGCAAACCCTGGTGACTAAACCCCAGCGCTTGTAGGACCTTACTTCAGCAATTAAATAGCATGGACGCAGGATAGCTCCAGGCATGCGGTGCTCCAAGTCTGGCACCTCCCCTTGGAGTTGTCGCCAAAAGCCGCGAGAGCTGAGAGGGTCTTGGTTTCTTGGTGGGGGAGAAGACGTTGGTGTGATGCGCACGCTCACACTATTGGCTTGGTTCCTAGATATTTAACCTAGGCCCCTTGCTAGTACGATTGCTGGCTGCACCACCCGCAGTGTGTTTGTAATGCAGTTCTTCGGCGCTGCGCACAGTTGTCGATTAGTGCCATCCTACGGGTATGTCGTGTCCACTGCTGGCAAAATGTGAGTTGGAGCAATCTAGTTAGTTGTGGTGCTGGTGTACAGCATAAGGCGTGCTTGGACGAGATTTCCGGCCACAGTACATGAAAGGTGTCTTTTTGCGCGGCAAAGGACAAGGCATGTTTTGCACAGAACATGCTTTTATGTGTTGCACATGACACAAGTTTGGAACGCTGCAGAAAAGAACGCATATCATGCGACAGAGCATGTTTGATTGAATCGTGTGCGTACATCGTATGGGCGGACACAAACTGTGACTTGCAGCATTCTAGTTGCGGCGCTGGTGCGCACCGTTATAATTCGTTGCACCTGGCGCCCTCCTCAACTGTTTGGACCGACCTCCTTCCAGAAGCGACCGCACGTGCTCGAGGCTAGGAGACACATGAGTGTGTTGGATCCCTTTCCAGCAGCAAGGGCACCTGCGGCACAGTGACACATGTATTGGATCCAGAGGTTGCAGCCTCCAGACTGAGAGGCACGTGTTTTAAAAACAATGGGCCAACGCTCCACAGCACATGTGTTGGATGTGTTTCCAGCGCCGCGCATACCGCATACATGTTATACGTTAGTATAACTATATATATACATATAGTTGTATATGTTGCATCAAAATACATACACATACTAATAAGACATAAAAGGTTCAGTAGATGCAGTAATACAATGTCATACTATATCATTGTTTAATTTATAATACATCAACAGTTATATCATCATGCAAAGTCTGTACAATATACTCTCAAATGTTGAAGTCGTGGCGACATTCAGTTTTTGAAGCGTTTACTTGGGGATTTGAATCTATGGAAGTCCTGGCGATGTTGCGTTTAGTTGGGGAGAAGACAAGGCAGCAGCGGCAAACAAAACGACGATCAAGCAAAACGCCGATCGCACAGGCAAACGAGTGGGGAGGCAGGTGGGGAAACAAGTAAGGAGACAAGGCAGCAGCGGCAGACAAAACGCCGATCACAGAGACAAGCGGGGAGACGAGAAGGAAGGAAGGAACGAAAGAAAGAAAGAAAAGGACAGGGGCGAGAGCATATACATGATGAGGTAACTATAGGTTTTCATTCTGAGGGCCTTCCTTGGTGGCACGGGTTCTGACCTCGTTCACCCTCTCGTTCATCCTCGTTCCGATACCTCTCTGCAACTTATGTGATTCAAGTAAAGTGGCCAGAGCCTGGCCCAAAGAGATGTCAAGGGACCACAAGGAGATTAACATCATTGCTAAGTCACTGCGTTTCCATGCCAGAAGCTTGTTGTGAACACATTAAAAGTGTGCTTCGGATGGAACTTCAGAACACATCAAAAACATTGTCAAATCATCGCGGGAACCTCTTTTTGCACAAAATTGCTAAATGACATTTCTAAATTATAGCGTTTACATGCGGGAACATTGTTTTGAATACATGAGAACTGTGTTGGGGAGAACACACCAAAAACATTCACAAATCATCGCGTTTACATGCGGGAACAAAGTCTTTGCAAGGACTATGCCGGGACCCCCCTCTTGGCGTCGCGTTTACATTGGGGAACACAAGTTTTTCCTAGTATGCCGTGACTTCCGCGGCTGAGTGTAGCTGGAGGTCGGAAAGCTGGGACAAATGTACTGGATCTCTTTCTGGGGGCCCCAAAGCTGCAGGGCAGCGGTTCGCAAATGGATCTCTCTCCTGCTGGTCGGGAAATGTTCCAGACTGACTGGGAAACGCATGGGTTGGATCTCTTTCGGGAAAGTCCTGCTTGGGGAACAAAAACACAACAATCAAACCTATATTTGTTTACATCTCAGGCTGGCCGGCCTTTATAATGGCCTTGATGTTTGCATTTGTTTGTGGTTGTTTAAATGTCTTGGTTTGTGGGATTCCTGAAATTCAAATCTTGGCTCTACCGCCTGTCTACATCACAGAAAACGCACAGTGCATAACGTTGTTGTTTTACAACCCGTTTATTTTTTAAAAAATTTGTTTTAGCTTCACAAGGTTGCCCTATTCTCAAATGTTTGTTCTTTGTCACGTGTTTTGTGTGTGTGTGCTGGGTTTAAAGACGGATTCTGAAGAAAATTCGGAGTCTAGCTAGGCGAACTGCAAAAGGATTGATTAGGTTTTTCCAGGTTAGTATTAGATGTATTGTTTTTTTTCGATTGTTTAGTTTTTTGTTTCTATATTTATCATAGTTAGTTGTTTTGAAGACAGAATCCGTCAGCGTTAGGTTTCGCTAGGTCGTGAGGAGGAAAAACACACATGTTGCATTCTTTGGTTCCGACAAGGTGATGTATATATATACGTATTTATACAGGATTATATAGGTGTGTTAATTCACTATGTTTGTGAACATTGTGTGTTTCCTTTTAGACAAGTTCAATCCGTTGATTTGTTTTCATATGTTTCTCCTGGTTGTTTTGTAGTTTTGGAGTTTTGTGGGGGCCTTTCCCCTACTCAACTTAGGAATTCCCCCTACTAACAGTGTTTTTTCCCTTCTGGGTCCTGAGTTTGTTTGTCAAGTTACTAGAAAGTTTTTTTCCTTGTGTTCACTTATTTTGTTGCTTCTGATATATGTTTTTTCTCGGCGCTGCATACTTTTGGCTGGTAAACACGCTCAGTTTGTGGAGGTGCCCTTCCTCGTATTCGAGTCAAGTAGACACCCAACAACGCACCTTGTGACTTGTGGTCCTACTCAGTATTTATCACTTTGCCAAAGCCACCAAAGTTGGGGACCCAACATCACATGCATTGACGTGACCAATCCTGTTCGATGTGATTTTGTAGTTCAAGCCCAGGTAATGGTTGGTCGTGGCCATGACTACAACTTGAGCTCCAGTGTGTTTATCGATGTGGAGCTGGCGCTCCATGGTGATTTTGACCTCGCTCGTGGAAAGATTTATGCCGGGTCTTTGGGCGACTCGCCCGTCCAATGGCTCATTTGTCGGGAGTAGGTGCAGAGAAAAAGGAGGCTGAAACGAAAGCAAGGTCTTTGGAGACTCGCGCCACGTCACTTTCACAGCTAGAATCAGCTATACAAGGTGGAGGCATCATGATGTTGAACTGATTTCAAACACAGCAGATAGCCTGTGAGTGGAATGTCCTTCTATCTCCTTGGTCTGTAACGATACCTCCACCGTTCCTTCGCACCCGAACAGGTCACGAAGAAGAGTGGCAGCAATAAGATTCCCCAGGCGCATGACACCGGTCGGGTGACACACCGTGCGGCACAGGGGCGTGCGACGCACAACGGCGAACGCGACGCACAACGGTGGAGGTTAGAAGGACAAAGATCCAGAAAGGACGCCAAAGCGTTTGGACATGTAGACTCTTTAGAATGAGTATAAACAATTATAAACATATGTATAGTAGTAGCCTAGCACTTAGAATATTTACCCTTTCACTTCACCGTTATAAAGAAATAGAGACGGAGGTCCGGGTGAAAAACGATGCAGATAGAATATCCCTATGCAGATAGAATAGTTCAACATGCACATAGAATATTATGCACCAACGGTTTTAGTATCTCTTTTTGAACACCGATTGATTGATGGCTTTATACTCTTGTCTTTCTGTTTGAATTTTTCAGATGCACAGTCGTTCCAACTGGGGAATATTCTAACTGCAAGAATGTAAGACCCAGTGGTTCAAGAAAATCAGGTATTCTAACTGCATACCCTTAATTTCTGAGTATTCTAACTGCTGGCCTTCTACTATAATTAACACCCTCCCTCCCTTTGGATGTGTAAATAATGTTTCATGCGGAGAAATTTAGTCATCATCAAACGTCTACATTGATGAACGAATGACATCGAATGACTCCGCCAGGCGGAGAGATACGACTCCGCTGGGCCAGAGGTCGAGAGCCGCATAGTTGGAGTCGATGTGATGTCCACCATTCTGAGCAGCGACTTTGGGAGGAGCCACATATATAGTGATGTCCAACAGTGCTATGGTGGAGCCATAAAACGCTAGCCATAACTATGTTGGTCAACAGATGGCAACAGTTGGAGAGGAGCCAATATATATATATACATATTTTGGGTTGGATTGCTTTGAAGCTGTTGGATGGTCCTGGCACGTAGTCACTGTCCTGTTCTAGTGGTCTTGAATTGTTAAAACTTGTTGGCAAAAAACGACCTTGTTTCGACCCCCGATGTCATCAGATGAAATCATCGCATACAAATCATACAATTCATTTTTGTCAGGCGCAAGCTGATGCACCCTTCATTGAACATGATCGCGGAATTTGCAATTTTTTGTTGAACAGAGTTGTGCAGGTTCCAAAGCCAAAGGCCGCCGAGGTGAAGGCAATCAACACTCTCTTGGCCACATGGGGATGCAACGCTGGCCATCGGGGCAATGAATTGCACAATATTGCACACCGCTTTTGCAGGTTGTTGAATTCAATCAAAGTGATTACGCATCGTTTCTGCGGTGGTTCACAAACGGAGACCATCGTCGTAGGTTGTTGAGATGAGTGGAGATGAGTTTGAACACCGCTGCAAATGTGTTTCTTTTTGGGCCATATTTTTTCCGTGGCATGTCATTGATCTATTGTTTACAGGGGCCCCACAGTGGCAGGTTGAACCGAAGATTGCTGAAGCTTCAACCCAGGTCCGAGTCAACCGGTGGGGGAGGAATCGGCAAAAGAACTTGCATCCTGTTGTCATCCGTAAGTGGAAAAGACGGAACAAGCATGGGCAATGACAACAGGATCACAATTATTGTTCTGGCAATACAGCATGACAGAACACATCACAACGGAACCGTCACATGGGCCCCATGGCTGTCGTCCGATGTCCGCCGATGGGCAGATGCAAGTGACGATCACTGTGGATCGGAGCAGACGTGACGGGCCACGTGCACCTTTTTCCGGAGGTTACTTCGTACACTCTTTGGAAGAAGCATGGAAGTGGAGTGAACACCACCTGTTTGGTATTCAGAAATGAAATATATAGGGTCATCCTTTTTGTTGGGCCATGCCATCCACGTAGCCATGATGATTCCCGTGTACCTGTCGTCCAGGTTCAAAAGCCGAAGGAGCTTCAGCCAACGCAAGAGCTCGAGAAGGCGCCATTCCCGTCGCAGCCCGTCGCACAGCCTTCGTCCGTTCGTGGTCGAGTCGAGACAAAGTGCATCCAGGTTCTGGATGCGCGAGACGTTTGCTTTCTAGGTCTACCTGAGTGTCCCCAAATCTCTTTGGAGTCATAGCTTTCAAGACGGACAGCATCCTATGGATGTTTGATTCGCAGGTGGAGCACAAGAATGTGCAGCCACCATCCCAGGCCTTTCTTCGGCATAGCTGCATACTGAGCTTTGGGTATCCTAGGCAGATTGTGGAGCCGCTGAATGTAGCTCGAGCGTTTTTTTCCTTTGCCGCTATGTGTGTCCTCACAACACATGTGTCATTTTTTGTTTTACGAGAACACCATCTAGTCAACTGATTCAGCAAGCTTGAGCAATGGCCAGAAGGCATGGACAAAAGAAGCTCTCTTTCCAAAGAGGTTCATTATGCAACCAATTAATTGATACCCCAAAAGACTAGTAAGAGCGACTAGCGTACAGACACACTTGTACGACTTCACCACAATCAAAAGAATGGGTCTTAGCTCTATAAATCCACAAAAGCAGCTTGGATGCTTCCAGTCCAACCATGTCGTTTGGTCGGACAGTCTAAGCCCCAACATGTGATCACGACCTCGGTCCTTGGTCGGTCGCCAGGCCCAAAAGCCAGCTGAAAAGAAAGAAGTAAAGGTGGGATCTGATGGAACCGAATGGAACCGATCTTGGATCCGATGCACCGATGCACCGGAGCAGCCCATCTGACTGAGCCACCATCTTGGATGAGCCATCAGGTGGTGAAGAACGGTGGATTTGATCACGAATCTGGATGGATTGTGGACCGAACGGTGGACCGAGTCCCTTTGTTTCTGAAGCGAACGAACACGTGACGATGGGGAGATGGGATTTGGACCAGGTGGATTGGGACATCCACATGACCGGCAGCTTTCGTGCTGCTGGGTGAAAGAGTTTACCACCTGGCGGCAACTGCCATGTGTGTGAGGCAGAGCCCAAGCAAGAAAGAAAGTTCGAGGCAGAGGAAGAGGCCAGATTGGCAGTCAGTTTGTGTTTATTTGTCCTGATGTTTGCAATACTTTGACTCAAGACCCAAGATTCAGATGATATACTAAGTCTCAGGATGCTTCGGAATTCGATGTTCAAGGGATTGCCTTGTTTCAGCCCCCAATGCTGGTTGTCAGGTTTGCCAAATTGGTCCAAGCGAATGACCAGTATGTGAACTTGCTGAGGAAATTTGGATACCAGTAGGCCAAGAGCCAAGTTCACCTTAGGTTCAACGTTCACTTTTGGGAATTGTAATGTGTGTATCTACATATTGGCACGTTTTGGAATAGGGAGAACCGCCCCCTGTGTGGGTTTGAGTCTATATTCATTTATGCACATTTTTCTTGGATGATCAAGAATCGGCTGGGCAACTGGGACCCCTGAGCTTCAACTCTTTTGCCTTTCAGCTTGTGGCCGTGGCATTTACAGCTCAACAGCTTTATTTTTGACCAATGGGTCACCCTATTCTGTATGATGCCAAGATTCCCTTGCTGCAGGTTCAACCTTTTGACAAGAGAGAAGTCCAGGCTGTGCGGTTCGCTAAACGGTCTTTGCACATTGAAGGTTGAAAGCAACCTTTTATGCCAAACGGCCTTCAAGTTGTCTCATTGAAGTCAATCTTGGAAGGGTGCGCTTGAGGCTTGAGAATATATTCTTCGCATGCTTGCGGATGGGGGGTTGTTAGCATTACATCTCACTTGAGCCAGGCTTGGGACTTATGGACTCTGGCGGGGTGGTTTTTCTGGACATGGATGGGTTGGTCTCTCCATTTGGATTCTCAGAGTCCCATCCCACGGGGGAGGGGAGCGCAAGTCGCGGACGGGATCGCCGGAGGGGCGCTCGTCCGTGGCGAAGCTCCGTTTCGCCAGGGGAAAGCCGATTGGAAGGGTCGCAAGGCCGGCGGGGTCTCCGAATCCATGGGACGGTCCGTGAAAGATGGTCCGTTGGACGCGTTGTTTTTGGCTTTGGAATTGCATGAGCATGTGACAAGATGCTAAGGGGTTCATGAAGAGGATTGAGGTGAGACTTCAAGGCTCAAGACCTTCCAAGATCAAAGAAAAGGGTGTGTTTTCAGTGCCTTGGAGCGAACAGATGGTCAACTTCCCCAGGAGGAAGTCAGTACGTATGCAGTACACTCCATGTTGACCTGCTGAAGGTAGCACCCTCCAACAGGTTGAGACCTTAAGGACCTTTTAGAGTCAGTCTAAGAGCGTGATAGGTTGGAGACCTGGCAGTGAGGGTGCTGTTGTTGGTCTCATGCTTCGCGGCACGCTGACCGGAGGGTCAAGCCCAAGGATGGTCAACAAATTGTGTTGATGGTGTTTTTTCCTCAAACAGTGTGGACACACTAGGGGTTCTTACGGTAATGGAAAAGCAGCTGATGCTTAGATCGCTGAAGCGCGCGGGCGTGAACGGCTAATTCGTTGCTATTTACAGTACATTCATGCCTCTCGAAAGCCTCGAAGTGCATTTCGACTGCGCAGGCTCACAAAGTCTAGGTGCCCGCGGCGGGTGCTTCTAACGACTGCGGCGCTGTGCGCTGCCGTGCGCATTTCCGCACTGGTCACTTTTCGTGGCAGGCGCAAGGAAAACCTCATGCTTTGGTGCTTCAATGTCGACTTTTCGTATCGTCGAGGAGCTCTGATTTCGTGACAGGTACAGTGTGAAGCATTGCTTTTCGACATCTGCCTCGTTTGCAGATTTCGTGGCAGGTGCAGCACTTTGTGAACCTCGATGCGCAGACTTCGTGACAGGTATAGCAGTTGTGAACCTCAAAGTGCAGATTATTTTGTGGCAGGCGCAGCACTCTTGGTGAACCTCGAAGTGCAGATTTCGTGGCAGGTGCAGCACTTTGTGAACCTTGCAGTGCAGATTTCGCGGCAGGCGCAGCACTTTGTGAACCTCGAAGTGCAGATTTCGTGGCAACCTCGAAGTGCAGATTTCGTGGCAGGCACAGCACTTTGTGAACTCGAAGCGCAGATTTCGTGGCAAGCACAGCACTTGGCGAACCTCGAAGTGCAGAGTTCGTGGCAGGCACAGCACTTGGTGAACCTCGAAGGGCAGATTTCGTGGCAGGCGCAGTACTTTGTGAACCTCGATGCTCACTCTCTCACTCTCACTCTCATCCTCACTCTTGCTCACTCACACACGCTCACACTCTCTTTCACTCACACTCACACTCACTCTCACCCACTCTCACGCTCACGCTCACACTCACACTCACACTCTCACTCTCACTCACTCACTCACTCACTCACTCACTCTCCCCCTCTCACTCACTCACCCTCACATTCACACTAACTCTCACTCTCACCCACACTTCACTCTCACTCATCCTCACTCTCACTCACTCACACTCACTCTCACTCACACTCACACTCACTCTCACTCACCCTCACTCACACTCACACTCACTCACTCTCTCACACTCGCTCTCACTCACTCTCCCACTCTCACTCTCCCTCTTGCTCTCACTCTCACTTTCACTCACACAAGCACACCGCCACCGTCACCACGATCCCCACCTTCATCACCACCATCACCTCTTTGGACCCCAATGCGTCTAGATCTCTAGACTTTCTGCTTATATATAGACCTCACACACTGTTTGGGGTCTCTTGCCGGGATAATTTTTTCAAATGTGCCCCACGGGCCATTGATAATATATAGACATGACATGGGCATTGAACCTTTTGCAAGACCAGCTTCCTCTACAAATAAAGGGATCGTTTTCTGTGTCTAAGTCGGTAACATGGTCGTGTTGTTCTTTGCTTCCCAGCCCTCCTCCAAACCGATCCCAGCTGTGCACGCCGATGTTCGGCGGGTCGAGGTGGTGTGGAGAGCTGCCTCTTGGCATAGATTGATTCGCTGTGCCGTGGCACATGGTGGCACCATCTCGGTATACCCCGCCCGTTTAGCCGCGTTTGGTTTACACCGGTCCGACCGGGAAAACACTGCAAGGTAAGTGAGCGAGAGGCTCCCAAGCCGGAGCCTGAACCGAAGAAGGAGTGGAAGGAGTGGGAGGATTGGAAGGATTGGAAGGACTGCGACCGCGGCGAGAGCAGTGGACTTGCACGCCGCGAGTTGTGGACCCAAGGCAGAGTCAAGATGGATTGTTTTTTGTTTTGCATTGTTTCGGATGTATTCAACAGATCAGTTGAGGATGGCTTACATGAATACATGAATCTTGTTGAATGCCTAGCAACATAGCAACGGTGTACACTCTGAGTCACTACATGGAGGGGAACGTACTCTTGCATACTGTAGCGTCTTCTGGAATATGATTTTGGACTCACGGAAGCATGTGGGTTGAGGTATAAAGTCGGATCCAAGAAGTGTTTGTTCAATCCTTGAAGTATCGGTCCAGAGAGATTCCTTCAAGTACCGGCTGGTCCATCTGCAGCTTTTGACGTGCACCTGGTCCATGCACCTTTGTTGCTTCCGTGTGTCCCTTTCTGTTTTTTGGAGGACATTTTGGCCGAAGAGGCCATCAAAGAAATCACAGAGCAAGTCTTGACGCCCACGTCTCAGTTTTTTCAGTGTATGGTCGGTCCGTGGGGTCCTCCGGCCTGTGAGTACATGCTGGTTGAAACACACCATGTTTAAATATGCATGTTTATATAATGTTAATATACGTACTGTATTGGTATTTTGATATGTTTAAAAGCAGAATGCTCATGAAGTTGATTGAGCTGTGCATACATCTATATGAGGGCCGTCCGTTATTGCCAGTGAAGGAATTTCGATCAACTGTTAAAACAAACATGTCGCGAAAGGGAAACTGCAGTCCGCGAAAGGCCGGCGATAGGACAGCGAAAGACATGTGCCAACCTAGACTTACATACAATGTGCATAATACATGACACATCCTTTTTCCCGAACAGAAACACGGATTTTCGCGAAAGGGCTGCGAAAGGCCGGCGGTAGGCCCGCGAAAGAGCGCATTGCCTGGAAGGGCATTTGCCCATCCATGGCCTTGAAATAAGCCTTGAAACCTTTGTTTCAAGTATGAATTGACAAAGGGTAATTAGCCTGCTTCTCAGCGCACTAAAAGGGATTTAGATGTCCAAACACTGCAATGGAACAAGCTCATCACAATGCGCGAAAGGAAAACCTGTGGTTTTTCTGCAAACGCGAAAGGGTCGCGAAAGGCCGGCGATACAAGCTCAAAAAGAAGAGCTTTGTTGGACAACCCCCATATGAGGCAACCTCAAAATTATCATCAACCACTTTAGTAAGGGACGTTTCATCTCTGTGTTGCTTTCGTGATTTTCCTTGAAAAACGATAGGGGACTGACAAAAAACGATACCCGTATGTATACATACTTGCAAAATCCAAAACCATGGAAAACGATAGGGGACTGACAAAAGTGAAACGAAAACACTCCAAGCATATATTTTTGACGCTAACTCATATATATATATATATATGCTCCTACAGTATATTATATAGGGGCGTTCGACATGCTCACTCGTGCATGCGTTGCTTATCCAATTGTTTCAGCAGCAGTTCTTGCGTTTTGCCTCAAGCAGCATCCGCAGCATCCCCCCATGTTGGCGTTGGGCACGTGCGGCCCTGTCTCAAAGTATTGACCATATATTGACATCAAGAGGCGAGCCTTCCAGGCTGGACTCCCCCAAACAGCCTACCATGTTTATAGGACTTTACAATAACGACATCCGCCCGTTGTCAAGACTTGCCGTTCTTGTTTTGGGCGGGTATGGGTTGTTTGCTTTTAATGTTTGGCAATCAACATATGGGCCCCATCAGACCATATCCGAAGCAAAGATGATCCAGGGATGTCCTGGACTTGCCTCGCACCGTCAATCCTTAATCAGGAAAGGGAACAACGGAGGTACTCCTCACAGATCCAAAGTTGCAGCTCCTACCGCCACGGAAGCAGTCCCTGGTTGCGATTCAAGACACTTTGTAGAGCAATACAACAACATACAACAACACAATACTTTGGAAACCCAGGCTGAATTTGATATACAGTATGAAGCTGGGGGCAAAGAGTGCACATTTGATCCAGATGTTTTAGTTGTGGATTTGCAGTCTTTGTGTTCCCTTGTTCTAACAATTTATATATATATATATACGGATGATTACTCTGTCAAGAAAGACGCTTTTTTAGAGTAGACTCTAGATTATTTCTTAACTATAACCTTTCAATTAAGAAATGTGGCTAGCAGGTAGACTCTAAATAAGGTTTCTTATTCTATCTTCTCCCTGTCAACCTTCTTAGACAATGAAATCGCTCTCCCTCGTTCTAAATCGCTCAACTGCATCGCTATGCGCATGGTCTTTGACTTCTTCGACCCGTATCCCATCGAGTGCCCAAGGTGGTCTGAACCTGGTCTGAAACCCTTTAGAAGTCCCATCGGAGCCTTCTATTTTGAGCCCTCCCTCCCTCCCCTCATCTCAGACTTTTGGTGTCACGAAGAGGAGTTTTTAATTGGGTACCACTACGTCCGCAATTGAGTAGTATTGGACGCACCGAATTACGACCACAATGGTACCTAATTAAAAACGAGCCTTCATTATCCTGTAGATCCTGGAGAGAGGTTGGAACTTTCCTTTTTCCGAACTGTTTGGAAGGCTGTGGCCCTTCGATTGAGCTGTTCACGGCCCGGTATCAAAACATCGTAACTTTTAAGCTGTGGCAGGGCCCTTTAAATTAGAACTTAGTACGTGTTCAAAAAGAACCGACTTTTTTGACAAAAACAGAGTCTAGAAAAAAGATATTTTCCCAAAAACTAGAGTCTACTTTCTTGTTTAAGGCAGTTTCTTAACACATTTATATATTTATATAATATATATATATATATATATTATTTTTTTTAGTAATACATGGTGCACACACCACCTCTTGTCTATCATGCGTAATCAACCGTGCAGGGCCATCATGTCATGTTATTCCAACCACTTTGGATCCTATGTTGGCCCCCGTGCGCTGTACTTGCAAATGAATAGCAAGGAACATGGGTGTGCTCGGAACTGACGCAATCACGATCCTTTGAACGTTTGTTGTTCACTATGTATTGAGTTGTTGCCTGCCAGCCCTTTCTGGTTACCAAAGGTGTCCAGGTTCTTTGGAGGAACCGTGTAGCAAGTTTGGTATACAATATACTATATCACAGTGTGAAAATGATATATTCTTGCTTTGAGGCCAGAAAACAAGGGCTTCATTTGGGTCGATCGATGGCAGGAGATGCTGCCAAACCGCCGATGTTTTTGGTTGGTCGATGTCCGAGTGCTAGTTGCGACATCTTCAGACATCTTCAGACTAGTTGCGACATCTTGTTTGTGCAACACACAACACACCACACACAACACACACGCTGCCGCACCATTGCATGTGTTCTTGGACCAATGCGGACACGTCCTTCCGGTTCCACCGACCTTCCAGGAACGTTTCAGCTCCACCTTTGGGACTGTGAGGCAGTCGGGACCGAGTTGGGACACACGAGTTCCGCGGCCCGGTGGCCGTTTCGTTGAGAGACACAGCGGAGTTCGAGACAGGCTCAGAACAGCCTGTGAACCGGTGTGTTTTTCGTGATTCATCCTTTCTTTGGCAATACACATGAAGAAATGTGGAGCTCGAACTCGAATTTCGGCAGGCAATTACCTGGTGAGAACAATGATATGCTGCTGAAATGTCTTGAAATGGCTGTGGGTGACCGACACCAGCGTACCAAACGGTTGACCTACTGACGTGTCGGTCGTTGGCTACCTGGAGGACCGGTGCTCCAGGTGGGTCGAGACCCGAATCAGTCGCACATCGTGCCGCGATGCTCAGCCTTCAGCGCACCGCGGTCAGGGAGTTTTTGGAATCGCGGCCAGACAAGACTCGGCCTCAGCAAATTGCCAGCGAACGTTCGCCCTGAATGAGTGGGTTCCGAACCATGGTAAGAAGATGCGAAGAACCATTCAGCCTTCAATGCTTCACTTCTTTAAGGTACATGTCCATTTGTTGATGTTGTTACTTTAACCTTAGGAGAGCGAAGAAGTTTTGCCAACCCGGATGACGGTTTGGTGTCACGTTTCTTGCGTTCTGTGCGACGCTGTGCGAGGTTTCGTGTCACGCCCACCACCGGAAGGCTGCCAGTTTTGGGTGATGTGAGCGCATGCGTGATCCAATGGCCACGGTATCCATGATCATGCACGATCCATTGATCCACGTTTGTGCCTTCTGATCCGAGGCTATCCCACGGTATTTCATGCATCATCCATCAATGAATCAATGTAGAAGATATCAGTGACCAGTTTGCTAGAGGGAAGAGTTAGTCAACGACCCAGCCTGGGTCAACCATCCAACAAAACACTTGAAAACTTGTGGATGATAGTGGATGTATATACCCAAAGAACCTGCATGTCAAGAACTTATGTTAAGATCATTTGCCCCCATTGCTCTTTTAGGGTCCGGCATGTTTCACACTCGGCCAGGGGCTACCGCGTGGCGTTGGTGAAGGATGTGGGTATGAAATGGAAACCTCGATAGTCGTGTGATGCACGTGGGGAGCTTGAAGGAACTTTTTCAAGCAGTTGGCGCCAGGAGACGAGGAATACATGTATTCTTTCTTTGTTACCCATTCCGTAGAGGAGACGATCCTCCAAAGACATCCAGACCAAACCAGGTTTTATACTGGGTCCTTCGACCTGTAGGTATGGGAGAAGGTTGCGTTGAATGCTTACAACAGTGAATCGCCAGCTGCTGAGACTCTGTAATTGCGATTTTGTGATATTTTTTGTCTTCCGATATCGATGCGTTGTAGCTGCAAGCTACTGGGCAGCGCCCAACAAATCAGGTCCTTCCAGAAGCGCACAGCAGCGATGATATTTTCAATATGCATTCTTATTTTGTTCTTGGAGATGCTTTTGGGAGGATCTAAGTGTTTGACTCTTTTTTCGAGCTTTGACAGAAGCTTGACCGTGGTGCAGCAAGACTGGGCGCGCGTCCATGTATCACGAAGATATGAAGAGGGATCCTTCTTTTTCCTGAGTTAAGATGATTACAGTACTTGTTCAAGAGCACACAGCATGAACACTTATTTTTTTGGCTGCATGCCCTCTCAGTCGCGACATTGTGAGAGACGTATTAGACGTATCAGAGACATCAAAAGATTTTGGTTGCGCAGAGCCCACACATATATATATATTATATATTATTATATAATATACATCAAAGATCATCCAACTATGTTCTGAAGACAGTTGGCTCAGGGCCAAAATGATACATACAATCCATCTTTGAAAGGCAGTTCTGCGCACCTGCATCCAGAAAAACTTTATTAATCCTGAAAGCCAGCAACTTGTTTTGCCTTTCTACAGTTGAAGGGATTCGCTTTCACAGTATTCTGCAGAGATTGCACCGCACCGCCCACAGCACGATCTAGCGCTTAATAGGGCCTGAGAACAGAAGACCCGAGAACAGACTCCACAACGGCGTGAGCTGTTTTGGACATCGTTTGCTGGGCGTGTGTGCCTGTCTTGCTATTTCCACTCGGCTTGTTTCAAATAGGACTCCCAGCTCCAGGTACAGCCTGAAGATGATGGATTTTGGCATCGCTGGCGGTCAATCGTCGGCGAAAACTCGTGAATGACCACATTGTGCTGCATGATCTGAATGTAGTATAGCAGAGATTGATGGGCTGGCAAGAAGTCCGGCCATGCATCCCGCGAAGTGCTGGATTACGTAAAGTAGCGCTAAAAGATTCCGCGTAAAGAATCTTGGAAAGCAAGAGCACCACTGCAGTGTTGGTCCTTAATTACCTTAATTGAAGGCAGATTGACTCGGGCATCATCAATGTTCACGTGATATGCCTAGACCCTTGTTAGGTAATGTTAGGCAAGAATCTTTGCCCGACTAAATGTCGGCCGACAGTTCTAACCGGGTTTCGCCCAAAGGATAAGCCTCCACATGCATCCAAAAGCTCCACTTCACCATGGCATCGAGGTTTTCGGACACAAATTCCGCCGCCACATGAGCCACCATGTCTCTGGTCCAAAGTAATTGGCTCCTCCGGTCAGTTGGAGGCCATCGCTAGTAGGTTGGAGGCCATCGCCAGTTGGAGGCCATCGCTATTATGAAGGAAAGCAGGTAGGTTTTAATAACTTCAACCTGGAGCACCGGCTTTTACCACGAACGACTGACACCAGGTAGGTCAAGCAGTCGGTATCCTGGTGCTACGATTCCTTTCTCCAAGCGACTGATTGAACTGCTGGGGGGGGTGGTACGCAGATACAAACACGTGAGCATAGACAAATAATAGCAGGCAAAAATGATTCAAAAGTTCAGCATAAAAGGCTTTCCTCAAAAACACTGTACTTCGAGCCCCAGGGCCCCTGGTTGTGGATGCTCATCACTATTTGAACATATTTGAACATTCCCCCCCCCAAAAGAATAATGCCTAAATCCGGACAAGGCACCTTTAATACTAGGCATAAGTTTTTGCCCAAGAAGAAGTTCCAGGAATTCGCTGTTCTCTATTTGCTCTCTTGCACCTATTTCCTCAAAACATGTTCAACATGTAGAATTACTATTCTACATGACCAATATATGATTACTATATAGATAGATAGAGTGTTCATTACTCTTTCTCGTGCAGGGTGTTGCTTCCAAGCATTCTCCAGATGGACGTCCGGACCGGACACCGTGCCCGGAGGGCGAATCGTGGCGAATCGCAAGGAAGGCCCACAGACCCTGATCCGGCAGATGTCGGAGGCCATTCCCACAGTGGAAGCTGGTCATTTGGCGATGTCACAGTGGAGGGCTGCGCCGGAAAGAGTGTGCCTGTGTGGTGGTGGTATGTCGACATGGATTCTGCTTCGGCTGAATGAAATCATGAATGGGCAAAGCACGGCAAAGCTTGCCCTTTCTCCAAAGCATCAGTTGCCTCGGGACGATCGTGTTCTGTTGCCGATTTGGTTTGTTTGCCCTTTCGCTGTTTACAGGATGGGGTGAGTTTGGGACTGGGGAGTTGCATGGATCAGCAGAGTCCCAGGAAAGAGCCCCATGGTGAGCAGGAACTTCATTTGTTGCATGCAGTTTGTGATAGAGTGGGAGTGTTCATTATCTTTTTCTCGACACCGAAGATTGAGATGCAGATGTGTTACTATAGTTTGTTTATCATGATGATATATCGTATATCATGAATTATATTCTTCGCACCACAGCAAGTCGCCAATAGTGTTTGGTCCTTTGGGGTTGGTGCCTCTCTGCCGGAGCATCACCAGCCACCAGCCGTCGTTCGTCTCCACAGCCGCCATCCGTTTCGTTCGTCGCAGATTGCAAAGCACTGCCGAGAAACCTTGATGCAGATGTTTCCAAACACCTTCGAAGGTGTGGCTCGTTAACCTGCTGGGGTGGGGCATGGTGTGGCTCGTGTCCCGAAAACACGAGAATCCTCGTTGTGGACACCTTTATTGTATCACAGTGGCCTATATAGCCCGCAGTCTTGGAACATGTTGGACTGCTCAAAGATGCCAAACATGCAAGACGAGTTTGCCTTTGTTTGGCAAAATGTTCCTTGAAAGATAAGTCAGTGCGACCCGCTGTTGTGACGATAGTTCCAGAATTTGATCCATCCACCACTGTGAAAGCTCGCTGCGACAGGAAGTCAACTCTGCGTGTTCCATGCCAGCAGCTCCAAGAACATGTTGGGATCTCGGATTCGCTGAAGTGTCCGCGCTTGAACAATCTTAAAGTCTTGTGGACTTTACTTTGCAGATCTATAGACTGTTAACATGCGATAGAATTGAGAAACACGTTGTTTCATTCCAGCTATTTTGAGAATTTGGGAGTTAGACTGAACCAGCTACTTACGCAAAATGCATCCTGACAACGGTAGACTGGCTGAGAAACCATGATCTCACATCTCTCATGCATTTGCCAGTCTCCAGCCTGTCCTGTCCATGACGAGCAGATATGAGCAGATGTTCAACTTCCACAAAGTACATGTGGAGATTATACATGTTTTGTTTTGACATGTTCTTGATTAAATTCTTAGCAAAACATTAGAAACCATGTCCTACATGGGCTGAGCTAATTCAGAGCTGTGGGAACCACCTGAACATGAGCCAACAATAGAATTCCGCAAAACCTTTCCATGACATCCTCCAAATGATTGCAGATGAGTTCTTGAATACAATCATGAGTCGTTTCACTTGTGTTATCTTTGCAGAGAAAAGTTGAGGAGATGCACGAAGCTTGGCGCAGACTTCGTAGCGATGTCGTTTGAACATCCTAGAGCTCAGTAGTTCCAAGCATCAACTCTACTTTGCCGCAGACCAACAGAAAAAGGCATTAAGAGGAAACTTGGTGAGTTGGCTTGAGACAACTGAGGAACCACCAACCAACCCGGTTGGAAGCACCCCGTGGAACCACCCCGGTTGGAACCACCCGGTTGGGTGGTTCCTTTCTGTTTGATTCGGCCCAGTGGAACCACCCCGTCTCCCGCCTTACTCCAGCCACCGACCGGACTCTTCGGTTCGGTCTACAAGCAAAAAAACCTTCAAACGAATATGCCATGGTGATATATGGTGTGTTGATTCTACAAGCTTGTATTGTCACTGTAAGCAGTTTTCCATATTGTTTGTTTCGTGTTCGGTGCGACTCTCAGTCTTCGTTCACTTCTTCCGCAGACAGCGGCCGAGGCCCTTCAAGTCCTCGGAGCAGCCCTTCCGGGACAACTTGGGCTCCGTGGTGGTGCCCTGCAGCAGCGAGGCGAGGAGCCGGTTCACCCGGCACGGCACACGGGGTCCGGGGGCGTAACCTGGGAGCCACAAAAGAAGCCCCTAGGAGCCAAGCAGAGGAGAAGCTTAGATGGTTAACAGGTTGTTCAAAGCATGACAGGCATGTCATGAACTCATATGAATTCAGAAGAATCCGGTTTGATCTGTTTCCGCGACATGGTGCACTGCAGACATGAACTCCTACCAAGACAGTAATCAAGGCCACCTTCACATGGCTACGCACCATCCCTCGGTGATGGATTCATCTCAGATAGGATTATATATATATATATTACTATTCTATGTTTGTATGTACAGCCCATATATACTCCGCTATAGGTACTGCAGACACGTGACTCTTGACGTGTTTTGGCTCAAGGGAGAAAAGGCGTTCCGAAACGTCGAAACTCTGTTTTCATGGTAGCGCGTGAGCCCGGTGAAAGCGAAAGGGACCAAGCGCTGCGCATCAAGGAGGAGAGACATAGTAAGGTAGAGACCTCCGAGGAGGAGGATCAGGAAATCCCGGAAGCGGCCGATTCGGCCGCCCCGAGTGGAAAGGAAGAAAAGGAGGAGGAGCCTTTGCCAGCCACATCAGCGGCGGAACCAGCCGCAAACACCACTCCGGCGGTTGTAGAAACTGCCGAAACAACATCAGCGGTTGAAGGAACCGCAGAAACAAAGGAAGAAGAAGAGACCACAAAAGAGACAGAAGGAGGAGAAGAAGAGAAGCCTGAACAAGACCCCACAGTAGAGCCAGAGGCTGAAGCGGCTGATCCAGCCGCACAGCCATCGTCTGGCCGAGTGATCGCCGACTTCATCACATCCCCAGAAGGTGTCAAAACAGGTTGGGAGGTTCGTGGCATGCACGCCAAATATACCCCAGCCAAAGTTGATCCCAAAGCACCTTGGAGGGTGAAGAAGAATATTTGGGGACAGGTCAAGAAGCATCCAGAGCCACAATCCGGATTTCGACTTCGAAGCAAGACCTCGCTTCAGCACCGGAGGCTCAAGGACCTGGTCAGGTTGCAGAAGAAGAAGGGTGTCATCACAGAGGATCTGAGGAGGCGCATCAAAGAGTTCGGAAAAGGGCGCACTCCGCAAGAGATCAAAGAAGAGCGGGAAGAGCAGAGGGTCCGCAATCAGGAGAAGCGGACCAAGAAAAGGAAGACCTCAGAAGCGGCTGATCCAGCCGAGGAGGAGGAGGTCGAAGAAGAAGAAGAAGAGTCGGTGAGCCATCCAAGTCCGGTTCGACAGCCTCGAACACCGGACGGGCCACCGCCGGCTAAGCGACCGCAAACCCGCGACACCGAGCGGGGACGGGCGGTCTGGGGGCGTGCACTGGAGTTGAACCTCCGCATCGTCGCCCTAGCCAACGAACGGGCCCAGCGATTGACAATAGAAAATTGGAAATTAGAGAGCCCGTTCCAAGTGCGAAAGTTTGCGGCCGACGAACTTTGTGAGCAACGGAACCTCAAGGGCACCGTTGCATTGGCCGCCATTCGCGAACTGTGGAAGACCCCCAACGAACAAGGAAAAAGAGGATCCAACGAGGCCTGTAGTTCTTGTGACGAACGGCGGCAGGCACAGCTGCCGGTGGTGAAGGACTACATCAAACGGCGAGGACTTAAGGGACCTGCCGTTCTTGGATCGAGCGCCAAGTCCAAAGCGGCGCCAAAAGTGAGCCTGACACCTGGGCCGAAAGAGAAGGCCAAATCGAAGGCTGGACCAAAAGGGAAGGCCAAGCCATCCGCCGCACCAAAAGTAGCGGCTAAAGCGAATGCCACAACTGTAGGTCGTCGCCCGGAAGAACTCACACGGACTACTGTTGAAGTCCGTGGAGTGCCAAAACCTTCCGATCCTTGACCGGGCGAACCGCCCGCGACTGCCGCTGGAAAAGGAGCGAGCGGCAGCAGCAGCAGGGGTTGAGGGTAGGAAACCATGGAACAACAGATCCAACAACTGAGTGAAATGGTACTTCAACTCCAACAGAACCAAACGAGGTTGGAGCAAGAGAATCAAGTGTTGAGGGAGTCTCAAGGCGGGGTATCAATGCTAGCCTCAGCTGTAGAAGAATTGGCTAAGAGCCTTGAGAAGAAAGAAGATAGGCGAAGACCCAAATCCTTATGGACACCAAAGGTTTGGGACGCCCCGAGAGTTTTGGGAATGTTGAAGGGGATTTTCGAAAATGGGCCAGGAGCATCGACAACCTGTTCATAACTACTTTTGGGAGAGAGTTCATCGAAATCCTAGAGTACCTTTTGGAACAGGAAGACGCGATTGGGATTATTAAAATAGAAGAAGAATTTGGGACTGGCACCGTGACTGATATCGGTGACCTCGAGGATAAGGCTGATCAGATCCATCGCGTCCTCCTGACCCTGACCTCAGGTGAAACAGAGGATTTGATGGTAGGAGCTTCAAATGGGTTTGAAGCATATCGGCGAGTTCACCGCCGTTGGGATCCCCGAACCTCGGGACGGAAACGCAATATACTTCGAGCGATTCTCCAACCGGAGAGAGTCAAGACATGGGCCGCGGTGAGGCCAGCGATCGAACAGCTCGAAGAGCTCATCAGGCGGTACGAGTCTCGGAGGAGTGCCGCAGGGATCAGGGAAACCCTATCGGACGACATCAAGTCCGCTTCATTGGAGATGCTGGTACCCCCAGATTTGGAAAAGCATCTTTTGTTGAACAAGAGTAGATTGACAACCTATTCGTTGATCAAACAGGAGATTGAACTTGTCATTGAAACATCCCTCACATCAAAGTCATCTGTTCCAAAACCAGGTTCATCAAGTTCGAGTTATCAAGGACCTCAACCCATGGACGTCGATTCGATCGGACAATGGATCGCAAGCCTGGTTAAAGGAAAAGGTAAAGGAAAAGGTAAACAGGCCAAAGGTGATGGAAAGAAAGGCCCAAGCAAAGGGGGCTCAAGTAAAGGCTCAAACCCGGCTAAAGATATTACCTGCTACAATTGCGGTAAGAAGGGACACCGAGCGGCCGATTGCTGGAGCAAGAAACGGCCGGATGGAAAAGGCGATAAGTGGTCAGGTTCAGGCAAAGGAGACAAGAGTGGTAAAGGTGGCAAAGGCAATAAAGGCAAAGGTGGAAAAGGCGGCAAAGGCAAAGCCGCAGGAAGTATGGAAGAGATGGACGATCCGGATGATGGCAATGAGTCAGCTCCGGAAGCTGATGTCGGAATGCTCATGGCAGACTTGAGCGGAATTGGAATGGCGGACACCTCATCCGCCGAAGAATGGATGAAGTTTAACCTGGACACTGGAGCAGCCCAGACAGCCCGAATGGCTGGGAGGATCGAGTGGTTGTCAGTGAAGGCAACGGAGTTGTATTCAAGACTGCATCAGGAGAGTTGGTGCCCAGTCAGGGCATTGGAACCTTTGAAGGGTTCGACGAAAGCGGCAACAAATGCCGTGTGAAAGGTTCAATGGCTGATGTTCACAAGCCATTGATTTCAGCATCCAAGTGCTTAGGCTTTGGAAGGATTGCAGTTCTTGATGCAAATGGCGGAAGGTTGATTCCGCAAGGGTCCAAAGTTGGAAAGGCTGTCCAGGCGATCCTGGAGAAAGCGAACGCTGCAGAGCAGCGGAGTTGTATCCCTGTATATCAGGAACAGGGAGTGTACAACTTCTACTTGAGGAAGCCAGGGTATAAACCGACAAAGGAATGCTGTGGCATCGCAGAGTTGAACGCCACAGGAGAAAGAGGAGATGCCTCTATGGATTCAGGCCAACCAGAGGGGCGAGAAGAGGATGATGAGTTGGAATTAGTTGATGAGGTTGAGAAACCCATCCAGATAAGAGCACCGGAGGACCCAACTCCGGCTGAGATCGAAGAGCACGAGGCGACAGGCCATGTGCAGTATCGAAGTTGGTGCCGGCATTGCATTGCTGGACGGGCTGTGGGACAGCCACATCGGACGAGGTCCGAAGAGGAGAAGGCCAAGAGCCTTGTGCCCACAGTGGCAATGGACTACACGTTCATGTCACGGGGCGGTGTGGAGGACGAGCGAGTGAAGCCGATCCTCGTGGTGAAGGATGAGAGGACACAGTCCTTAGCGGCGACCTTCGTGGACTCGAAGGGAGCGACGCCGTATGCAGTGAAGTTCGTGGCAAACTTCTTGAAGAACGTCGGATGGTGAGCCACCCGTGGTAGCCTTGAAAGAGGCAGCGGCGAAAGAAACCGGCATAGACTGGGTTTCGGAAGAGTCGCCAGTAGGAGACCATCAGGCAAATGGTCTGGCAGAGAACGCCTGCAAGGAGATCAAGCGTCAAGTACGAGTTCTCCGCAGCGCGTTGGAAGAGAAGCTCGGCAAAGAGCTCAAAGATGATGATCCTGCATTGGCATGGCTGCCAAGACAGGCGGGAGACCTGTTGAGCAGGTACAAGAAAGGTCAAGATGGCAGAACGCCTGAGGCCAGAAGATGTGGAAAGCAATGGCGAAAACCTGCCATAGCTTTTGGTGAGCGCCTATACTTTAGAGAAGTAGGCGAGGGAGTTCGCATCCTGAAAGAAGGACGCTATGTAGGACACCATGGCCGAACAGGATCCATTTTGGTGATGACGGCCGATGGCGTGCGAAGAGGCACAGGAATCCGGCGGCTGAGTTCAGCCGACCGCTGGGGCCCAAGTGATTGGGACCTTTTGCGGGGCTTACCGTGGGAACATTCCGCGGCAAGGCCTGCCGGTGAGCAGCTGATGCTCGAAGAGCGCCTTGTGGTACCACCTCCCAAGGAGGAACGAGTGGCACCACCACAGCAGAGGCGGGTGTACATCAGGAGAGAGGATGTGCACAAGCATGGAGCCACAGAAGGCTGCCCAGGATGCAAGTGCATCTTGGAAGACAAGAGGACGACCTTGCCGCACACAGAGACGTGCAGAGCAAGGATCACCGAAGCAATGGAAAAGGATGAAGCTGGGCAAGCGAGACTTGAAGCCCATGCAAAGAAGAGGAAAGAACGGCAACAGCTTGACACTGTGAAGCCGAAAGTCGTGACCGACAAGGACACCGACATCACGGCCGAAGACGCGGCCGGAGAACCAGAGAAGAAAGAAGAAGCAAGGAGCGCAGGGTCGGGAAGCCCGCCGCCAACAGCGGCAGAGGGTGAGAAGACCTATCCCGATGACCCGAAAGAGAGATATGAGATGAAGAGACAAGCAGCCGAGATGGAGAAGAAGCCAGTGGCGAAAGCCAAGGTAGCAACAGAGCCCAAGAAGAGAACAGGAGAACTTCGGATAGATCCACCTGGGGCAAAGGTCAAGCCGAATCCAGCTCAAGGAACAAAGAGGTCGGCAGAGACCGCTGTAGAAGACCTTGATCCCAGAGTGGAAGAGAGTCCAAAGAAAACTGAGACGTTTTCGTATGTTCCAGAAACACCACCAGTAGGGTGGAAGCCAGATGCAGCAAGCTTGGTAAAAGAGAAGGAGATCGCAAAGCAGCATCTGAAGAAGATCATTCAAGGAACCTATGAGGCGAATGGCATCGAGATCTCTGAGCAAGAGATCGGAGACATCGCGCATTTGAGTATGCAGATGTCAGCAGTAGATGTCATGGAAATCTACTCGCCCAAGAGGTTCACCGCGCTTGCAGAGCGGTACAAGTTGCGACCGGGTTTCGCGGTCGACTTGAATAAAATGAAAAGCGATGGAACATACTGGGACTTGAACAAGTCCGAAGATGTTCAAGAGGTGCACGACATCCTTGAGAAGGACGAACCGGCTCTTTTGACTGCTTCGCCTCCGTGCCATATGTTCTCGCAGCTCCAGAACCTCAACTGGAGAAGCATGGCGCCGGATGTCCGGAGGAGGAAAATGGACGAAGCCGTCCACCATCTTCATACGAGCGTAGAGCTGTATGTCAAGCAGCATCGCTCAGGAAGAAAATTCCTCCATGAGGCACCTTGGTCCGCAACTAGTTGGAAGGATGAGAAAGTTGCGGCCTTAGCAAAAGAAGATGGTGTGTTCGTCGTGAAAGGTCCAATGTGTAGGTGGCAAATGATGGCCACTGACCGAAGAGGACTCCAAGGCACCGGCTATGTGAGAAAGGAGACCGGTTGGACGACCAACGATGAAGGGTTGGCCAGAGTCTTGCAGGAGTCTGCTCGAATGAATCGGGCAAAGGACCATGGCACCACACATCCATCGATCGGAGGCATTGCTAGGCAGGCAGCGGTATACCCACCGCAGCTCGTGAAGGCAGTGCTGAGGAGCCTGCGTGACACACTAGCGGAGAAAGGTGAGTTGAACACCTTTGATCTGTTTGCAGCAGGCCCAGTTCCAGAGATGCCTCTGATGGACCCTGAGTTCGAAGAAGTCTACATGGATGATGTGAACGGCGGCATTTTGCCAGCCGAGAAAGTGAAGGAGGCAAGACGCCTTGAGATGGATTATTTGAAAGAAAAGCATGGTGTTTATGTGCTCCGGCCGAGAGCCGAATGTTTTGAGGAAACGGGGAAGCCCCCGATTCCAGTCAGATGGTTGGACACCAACAAGGGAGATCCAACAAACCCGAACTATAGGAGCCGATTAGTTGTGCGTGAGATAAAGGCAAGAAAGACCAAAGAAGAACAATTGCCAGCCAACTTGCTTTTCAGCAGCACGCCCCCATTGGAGGCGATGAGACTGCTGTGCTTGTTGTGGGCAACAAAGAGAAAGTCCTGCCACAACCAGCCGCTGAAGCTGGGCTTGTGGGACATCTCACGAGCACACTTTTATAGAACTCCAAAGAGAAAGATCTACATAGAGTTGCCGCCTGAGGACGAAGCCAGCAAAGATGGGCAAACCTGTGGACTACTCGTGAAGTCAATGTATGGAACACAGGACGCTCCAAATATCTGGCAGACGCACTACACAGAGACTCTGCAGAAGGCTGGTTTCCGCAGAGGCTTGTCAAATGCATCAGTCTTCTACCAAGAAGCTTGGGACGTCAGAGTGATGGTGCATGGAGATGACTTCCTAGCGCTTGGAGACGCCCAACACTTGGAGAAGCTCAGCCAAGTCCTCAAAGATGCCTATGAGCTGAAATGTCTCGGAATTCTTGGAGATGAGGATGGAGACCGAACAGAAGCTCATTTTCTGAATCGGTTAATCCGAGTTGAAAAGAAGAACGGCAAAGGATCAATTGTGATCGAAGCCGATCGGAGACATGTTGATCTTTTGATCCAGGCATTTGGTCTGGAGAAGGCAAATGGTGTAGAATCACCAGATGTCAAGAAGTCGGCAGATCAGCAGATGCTGGAAAGCCGCAGTCCGCTGCTTGATAAGAGCGAGGCATCGAAGTATCGTTCAGCAACGATGCGTGCTGCGTACTTGTCCCAAGATCGACTTGATATTAAGACACGCAGTCAAGAACCTTGCTCGCGGTATGGTATCACCAACAGAAGCCAAACTTGCTGACTTGAAGCGTCTCATCAGGTACTTGAAGAAATACCCTGATGTTGGGCAATGTTTTGGCTCGCAACAGACACCCTCAAGGCTGAGGGTGCAGGTAGATGCCGACCATGGTGGTGACGCTGTGACGCGCAAAAGCACGACTGGCATGGTTGCTATGTACGGCATGCGCGTGTTGAAACACAGTAGTAACATCCAATCCACTGTAGCCCTTTCTACAGGTGAGAGCGAATACTACGCACTTGTGAAGGGAGGATCTGTGGGCTTAGGCCTCCAAAGCCTATGCGCAGACCTTGGTTTGGATTTGGGAGTCACCATCGAGGGCGATTCCAATGCAGCCAAAGGAACTGTGAACCGAGTGGGTTTGGGTAAAGCCAGACACATCCAGACTCGCTACCTATGGTTGCAAGAAAGGGTCGCCGAAGGCCACTTGAAAGTGCACCACGTTCCAGGTGTCAAGAACAAAGCCGATGTTTTGACCAAGTCGGTTCCTGGGGTGCAGCTTCGCAAAACTATGGAGGATCTGCAATATGCATTTCTCAGCAAGCGAAGCAAAGGACAGTTAGATGTTTTGGAGTAAGGTCCCTGGCCAAGCTCCACTACCACAACTGAAAGTGGCTAAGCAGCGAAGAGTTTCACATGTTTCCTTTTAAGCTTGCGCAGCAGTACAGTGCTTTGCAAGAGGAGGAGTGTTTGTATGTACAGCCCATATATACTCCGCTATAGGTACTGCAGACACGTGACTCTTGACGTGTTTTGGCTCAAGGGAGAAAAGGCGTTCCGAAACGTCGAAACTCTGCTTTCATTTTATTATGTTGTTACATGTTGTTTGAAAGTCTAAAACAATCAAACACTCACAACCTGTGCAATCATCCTATCCAGATTTACTGTATCCAATTGTGCATGTGTACGAGCACATGTATCGTTGGCACCGTTCAGACAAGATGTCTGAGCTCAAAAGTGTTTGGTAGGCTATTCCACAAACTGCTTTAGGAGTGTGTTCCTCGATCCACCCCACAAGTGATGACCAAAAACAAAGGCAAACACTATATATAACATATCCATGGAAGAGATTGCAGCTGTTTGACATTTCTGAGTAAGGGTCATTGACAAAATTGTAGAACAGAATTGAGGGGCATCCTGTTCAGGTATTTCGGAAAGTTGAGGAACCGTTGGATTCCTTTGTTCTCTCATTTTTTGCCTGCACCATGCTTTCTCCCATCATGCACATTTCATTCGGCATCAGTTGCAAACTGACCGAAGTTCTGACAGGTTGTGCAATTGTTTCCTTTTGTACTAGTTACACTCTGACGAACACATCAACATGAAAGTGGATCGCATGGTCCCTTGGAAGACTACTTTCCGAACAGGGGATATTCTACATGTTAGTGAGTGGGAGTGTATGTTGTTTGTTTATTTGAGCAATCCTTTCCCCTGTAAGCCTCACCATTATGCTGTTCTCTAAGTAGCTGCTGTCAATTTATGTCAATTTATAGTATTGCCATTGTCTTCGATTGATTTCATTACGGGTATGTGGTGCTGGCCTCCTATCTCTTCACCCCATCTAGAAGCCAGCTGTGGCTCCTATCCCCTTGGGAGAAGGCAGGTTTCCAAGTCCAAGTTCCCTAAGCATTGCGTTCTATATATTCTGGAGGAGTGACATTGCTTCTCCACGAAAGAATCTCGAATCATTCCGGTCCGAAAATGATTTGACCAACAACTTACAAATTTATTCTTCTCTTGCAGGAGGGGCCAGCGGGACTTGTAAGCCCCATGCGTGGCTAATTATTGGATAAAACATGGTGTCTCCAAATTAAATCCTGTTCCATCATTCTGCCGACGACTGGACATCATTTTCACTTGTTTCACCCTTCCTCAGGACATGTTGTTGGAGAAACCAGCTCAGTTGACCTTCATCACGGACGAACTCCTTGATGTCCGGTGCACCCGGCTGCCGTGCGACATCACGCGGTGCGGCAGACCCTGCGCAGCGCGGAAGACCGGGGGTGGGATGTGGTGCGCAGGTAACTTGTTTAACGAAGATGGCTGTGAAGATGACTTGTTGCACATGTTTGTGAAATACATACTAGGCTTGCCAATTGGCATACCACATGGTCCTGAAAGTTTGGATCAACTTCAGCAGATTGAATCCTGGTAGTGGGGAACAGCTCAGTTCCTTACAGCAGTTCCATGCATTCAGTTCCTGGTTGCGGACAACCACTTAGAGCCTTTTCCCGATATTTCAGAACAGATTTGAACTGCTTCGTTTGAATCGGCTAGAATCTGAGGTGAACCCCGGTCCAGTGACCTTCCCTCCAGGTCGATCATTGTGAGGAGCAAATGAAATCGGCGCTGAAAACAGGACCAGCCTCCGGAGCACCGGTGAACACTTCCATTAAAGCTTCACGTCCCCGTTTTTAGATCCCGACCACTAAAAGATAATACTAACGGAAGAGTTGACAGCCACTTGCAGCATGTACTTGTTGATTTGATGCGTACTTGTGTGCAGGTGTTTGGTTTTTGCCCACACTACACTACATGAGGGCTCTGTGGAGGGGTCATTTCAACCAGTGATTTGGACATTCACAGGGCTGAGAATGAGTCCAGGGCTGTGAATGAGGGTTTTTGGGTGCTCTACATTTCGTTACTTGGGCATATCTAAAAGCAGACGTGAAGGCACTGTTGACTAGTGCTATAGTGCATCAGCATGTCACTTGGAGCTTTAGCAGACAAGTCTGTTATCAGTACTTTGGAATCAGTAACAAGAAGCTACTAGGTGGAGGCCATCGCTATTAGGTTGGAGGCCATCGCTACTAGTAGCAAGAAGCTACAAGTAACAAGGGTGGCTCTTCGTGGCGGCACAACACAACCTTTGTTTTTGCGATCTTGATGAAAAAAGATAGTGACAGTGCGGTAAAGCATCAGCGCTGTGGTACAGAGGTTGCAATTGTTTGAATTGACAGTCTTTTGGAGTAATCAACTAAATGTCAGGGCTGACTTTTCGGGTTCAGGATGGTTTGCTGTTGGCCTCATGCCAGGAAATGTCCCTGCGGCTGTTGAGGCACCAAATGTGATGCGAATGTGCTGATGGTCAGGGCATACAAGTAAGCATGTATTCAATATCGATGGCTGTGGTGGATCCTTGATTGTAGCCGCTAATGGCAGCTTGTTAGATTGATTCTGATGGTTCTATTGATAGTACTCATAGGTTGATCAATGTCCGCAACTCTTGAAAGGACAGGAGCCCAAGACAATCGCTTTTGCTCGTCTCAAGAAGATCCAAGGGGATTCTTTTGGTTCTGCATCTTTTGCTCGGGCCTTGCTGGGTGAACTACTGTAACTCTTAGTGTTTCAGCAGGCACTGGGTGCTCCAGCCGCACGCTTCCTGCTGGCGCCCAGCAACGGAGAACGAGAGATGCAGGAGAGACGCTCACTCGAAGCTCGGGGCACTCGCGACACTCATGCATACAATTTCAAGGATCCATCGACCCACCTTTGGTGGGATGTTCGTCGAATCTGCGACGACGAAACATGTTCGGAGCAGTTCGGAGCAGGGCAGACCAAAGGTCCAAAGGCTTTTGAGTTGAGTTTAGAAATGAATTGAATTTCTATGAAATACTGTAAAGAAGATAAAGCTAAAAGGACATCAACACAACTCAAAAACATCATTATCATTGAACGACATGTGTTTGTTTCTGTTATATATATTTTTTCTTGAGTGTCTTTCTGGGGGTTTTCTGAATGTCTCAGGCCTGAGAGGTGAAGTGGCATGGTGGGGGCGGCGACGCGGGGACCCGGGGCTCCAAATGAACCAAGTGGACCGGACTAATGACCTCAACCAATCACGGTGAACGGACGCCGTGTCGAAGATCCCAGGAGGATTTCAAGAAGCTGGGTGTGAAACCCATTGCGGACACCTTGCTGGTCGTGAGCTCAAGCAGCATGACATATCAAGCTGCATCCGTGGACTTCAGTCAGGTGTTGCTCAGGAAAACGCGCCAACGGTTTCACCTGGCAGAAACCCCAAGACGTGCTCGGCCCGTGAACCGGCCGTTTTCACCTGCTTGGAGGCCAAGACCAAGCAAAATGTCCAGCGGCCGGGAGTCTGAGTGACGTGCCTGGTGAACCAAGGGCGTTTGATGACTGTATATTACATATATTGCTATACTATACAGTCTACATGTACAATTATAAATCATATAATATGGTTTCAATAGATATAGTTGAGAAAGAAACATACTATAGCTGTTTATAGCTGTATTGTGTTTGTTCCAAAAGGCACGTTTGAAGCCTGATCAGGACGATGGACAATTTGGGCCTCAGCGGCAACCTGAAAATTGAGGAGACACCATCAGTCAGTCGGATGCCTGCCTGTCCAGTAAGCTGATTTATATATTTATATTATATTGTAGGAGATAAGTCTATTTATACAAACCATCATTGCACATCATTGCAACATGATGCCAGTTACAATTCCATTTATTGCTAGAGTGTTCAAGCAATGACACCAAGGGCTGAAGCTTCTCAGTTGAACCCATGGTTTGTTCTTTTCTTCCATCAGATGGGTATTTATATATATAGGGCCAATAAAAGGAACAATGAAGGCCCAAAAAGGCCAAACCTAGTGGGCCTGGAGGCTCTCCCCCAAGCTGCACACCCACCCGGCTGCTCTACCCCTTTCGCCACCCAACTAATCCCAAACTGCTTTTTCCACATCGAACTGCTTTTTCAACATGTGTTCTCAACAGATATGTCATTTGCTCAACAGAATGTCATTTGATGTCATTTGTGTGTCTTCGTTCGTTTGCTCCGGTTCGGAACGCATGTTGGTCGTGATGCTTCGGAACACCGACCGCTTTTTTCGCCTTGACCGGCTGAACCCACCGACCGCCTTGTTTCGGGCGACAGGAGCTGCGGAGGTTCCTACAGAAGATCGACCCGACGCTGACGGAGCAGGTCGTGAAAAGACACAAGACTTTGCCTGTTTGTCGAGGAAATGGTCTTTCCAGTGACCATACCATCCACTTCCGTGGTTGTTGGAGGGAGGGTAATCCATGGAGGTGATGACCGATGACTAGGAGAAGCATAGGTTAGCTCAATGTGGCTTAGTCAACCCCTGCCAGCTTATGAAGCATTTCATTGCGTTCGAGCCCTACAAAGCCAGGAAAGCGGAGAAGGGCAACAAAAAAAACGCCAGCCCATCGAATGGAGCTCTATAGAATATGCAAATATAACTTCTTATGTGCCCGTCACGTGGTGTGGCCGTACGGATGAGACACTCATGACGGATGGTCGTTACTCGAAGCAAGCTGTCTTCGCTTGGCAGGAAGTGAATCAACTTCTCAAGGCCTCGCCGAAGTCTGAGCGTGGCATGGCAAGGGCTCCCCAGCGGACCAATGGACTGGAGAAGCGGACCTCAGAGCTGATGCTTAAAGATGATCATAAATATCATAAGAATAATGGACCCATTCAATATCATCCAATTAAGCAGTTGGCTGGAGGACGTTCATGGCTTTGAGCCTGAGCGAATGGAAATCGAAAGTCCAATCTGCTTTACTGCGTACTGCCTCCTGCCTGTTGATGGTTAACCATGTCCAAGTGTTTTGAAAAGTGACCTCGCCCTCTCCACTCTCCACTTCTGTTTCACATGGTTTTACTATATTTCTATACTGTGCCTTCCCCAAGAACACCAGTGGATCGAGGAGACGTTCATGATTCCGACACCCCAGCACTCAAAACCCATTGGTCTTCTCCGCAGTAGCCCGTCGATCCGTCGCACGTCTCCGGACCGCTGCGTGTGTGTTCCGTCGCGGTGCGAGGAGCGCCTCAGGCGCCTTGAGGTGCCCGGGGCCGAATTTATGGAATGGATCCTCAACAGCCTCCAGCCGCCGGGACCCACAGACGACATGGAGCAAGTGAAGAGAGCGGGGCGGGGCGGGGAGAGAAGAGAGTTTGTGCTGGTGGACATCCACTTTGGTATTGATTGGGATTTACGGTTTTTCCGTTTTGGGTTCAAAGAGTAGGCCACGAACTAGCAAACTGATGCAAACTGCAGAAAGCATGTCATTCTTGACATTGCTAAAGGATTTGAACGGTTTTTGAGGTGAGATGTTTTTGCCAATATACGCAAACAAGCGTTAACACACAGGGATGCCGTATGCAAGTGCAGACTCCCACCGGCACAATTCCCTCAAGTGGACCGCGGACGGCACACCCGAGGTGACTGGTGGCAACGGGCAAAGTCTCCATCGGGGATCCAACTCGGTCAGACAGCCACGCCGTTCGGAAGAAAGCAAAGTTAGTAACAAAGGGCATCGCTACGAACGGAGCAAGAAGGTACTAGTATCTCCTGGCAATACTACTAGGAACAAGAAGCTACTAGGAACAAACGAATATGTAATTGGTTAATATTGGTCAAAGTTATATATACAACATTCTGCTACATGGAGAAGCAACAACCGGAACGCCACGGTGCAACCTTTCTTCAAACAGAAAGCCAGGAGCGAATGCCACGCTGCCGCTGTGCAAACAGATCAAACAAGGGTAAGAACATGCAGCTGCAACAACTGGCAAAAGAAAGACCAAAAGCCACACCTGATGCAAAGGTCTTTTGTTCTCAGATTTGATGTCTCGCAGGGCACAAGTCCCAGCTCAGCAAGGCTGAGTGTTGGAAGACAAAGGATTGCCTTCAGACAATAGATCATGCATGATCATCCAATGGATCATGGAGATCTGATCGATTTCGAGGCTAGCCGTGGCTATTAATTAAAGGATCCGCGGGCTCCTTCGTCTTTGTCGACCGGCTCCTAGATCGCCAAACGGCGGAGCTGGCTTTAGCATTGGTCAACGTATCATGTGCTTTCTCCAGTGCCTGGACTTGGCCACTTGGGAAGCAAAGCACCATTCAGAGAAGCGACGAGATGTTTCGATGGATCTTAAGGGGAAAAGCCCATGACAAACCCTTCCTTCTCCGGTGCAGAGCTTCTGGCACACTTGGGTTTCGCATGTACATGGCACACTGGTCTTTGGCATTCACAGTGGGTTCAAGGTGAGAGTGCTTCCGAAGGGGTCTTCGGATGTGTTCGATCATCGACCTCGCCGGCTCGCCTCGAAAATCGAGGTAGGCCGATGCCAGCTTGGCCAGAAGGGTGAGATAAAAGAGTGCCATAAGAGTGCCATTTGATGCCATTCGCGGGTTTGGGGACCTTGTGGGATATATCAGAAAATGATAGATTTTTATTATTGAGATGTCCAGAGTGCGTTGGCTTTGATTCATTGATTCTAGCTTAAGCTGTCACTTTGCCTAGCTATTGATCGTTGTTCACTTCGACACTGGTCATCTCTGGTCCTGTCCGCAGCAGAGATATTGATTAAACATGAATAAACATAATATGATCAAACAAAACACCATGACAGCAGCAAGGTGTGTGCATTGCTTTGGGTCACGAGGTAGAAGATAACACACATAGCACTCATGAAGCCCCTTCTTCATGTCACAGGTGAAAGATGGTAAAAGTCATAAGATCTATCGATTATCAGATAGGTTTAAGATGCTTTAAGATCATTGCCCTTGATGGACAAAACCTCATGGATGATCAAGTCAAGACCTTGTTGGTCACGTCCCCCCCAAAAAAAAGAGGAGCTCCAAAGGATCAACCTCCCCGTCTTGCAACTTCGACTTTTTGTCCGACCTTCCCGACTCCAGCGATGGAGGGCGATGGAGCGATGCCGCAGTCCGAAGGCGCTGGATGCGTCATCCACCATGTAGCGACCAACAAAAACACGACATGGGTGGGTCAACCAATCCTGTGTTGTGTCCTGGAGTTTGGGAGGACTTTGGGAGGATCTCATGATAACACTTGATTGAGAACAAACTGCTCTCCAAGTCGTTGGCATTGTGGAGAAGAATCCGAATGAACTTTGCATGGTATTTGCCTTCCTGAAGCGGAAAAAAAGCGAACCCATCTACTAATCTACTATTGACTATATGTTGTTCTCAACTGTTAGAGGTCTTGATATAAGAGTCGAGTCAGAAAGAACCGTAGAAATAGATAGAAATAGATAGAAATAGCTATTTGTGTCACCATCTCCCGCTCACCAAGACTGGTGTCAACCTGCTTCAGACCGGTCGCCGTCAGGTGAAATCTCCCGCAAAAGTCAGGCTGGAGATGTGCAACATGCAAGACTTTGTTTGGGGAAGGTTCTAATGTGTTAACCCAGTCTATTGATAGGATTTCCGATTGAGCTTCAAAGAGAAACAAGTGTTTGACTTCGGGGTGGGAAGCGCTTGTGCACACTCTTGATGCCATGTGAAGGTTGACTTTGCAGAGGCTGGAATGTTTCCATTATTTTTTTTCCGGAGGATGATACCAGTGGGCTGGATGCATCGCAAACCTAGCAAGAAAGAACTCAGAAGCTCAATGAAGATGGGTTGGCAGATTCAATGAACACCGTTCAAGGTGGTGTCGGAGACAGTTTCCTGTATAGTTAAACAAAACAGCCAGCTGTTAGGAGCTTAGCAAGATGATATCATAGCCCTGTGCTCATGTTTGTGTCACTTGTGCAAATTCCGATGATAAAGCGATCACTGAGCTGTTTTGTGGTGAATCTCTTGATTTGGGAATCTCTGCCCCAAACTTGCAGGGGATGTCGCCACTGCTGTTCAAAGTCCAGGGCGTTCTATTGAAAAGTCAAAACACAGAATCAACACGACCAGCCTGGTAGCATCCTTTGTCTAATAATTTTATTTTTAAGACATGCTGGGTATATCGGTCAAATCGTCGCCTGGTCTTCTCTACCAGCCTCCTTCTCGGTCATCCCAACGCTCCACTCCACCGCGTCCTTACCACCAGGAGGAGCGCGCGTCCTTGCCCCGTGAGCTCCGTGGGGGGTCCCGCTCAGGGCCAGCTTTGGGCGATATTTGTGTGGGTTTCATCCGCTGACGGTTCGTCGGGTGTCGGGACGGCTTTGAATGGTGGGGTTTTGACCGGTTTCACCATGTTCTCGGCCAACTGACTTGTTGGCTTAGCCTCAAGGTCTCCCTTAGTGGTGGGAAGAGGCTCTTCAGTTGCCGCAAGTGCTCAGGTGGCTGTGTTGGTATAATCGGACCCTGGTCCCTGGGCCGTTCGCTGGAGTAAGTGCTGATGTGCAGAGACTTACCTTGGGAAATCATGAGCATTTTCTTGTGCTTGTGCCAATAGGGGCTACGTTTTTCCAAAAAGTATGTGGAAAGGTCCAATACTGGCTGTGCCAATGTGATTTGCCTTCAAATTTCATTCGAACAAGTCAGAATGTGTCAGATTTACTGTTGTGCGCAATGTTTGCTGTTGTTCATACAAAACTCCTCATAGTAGCTGTTTGTGGCTGTGCCATGCAGAAGTCCATTTTCTGATGTGACTTTCGGGCCCCTGATGTGACTTCCAACTTTTCAGGCCGTACCATTGGGATGATGTGACATAATCCGATTGATGTGACTTAGCCACCATGCTCGCAGTTGTTTAATGCTATTTTGCAGAACCATGGAACAAGACTGGGTTCTTCTTGCTGTATGTATATAATTGTTCAGTGCGACATAATGCGACATATTATGTCCGTTATTTATTAATTCTGTTAAAAGCCACAAGCACCTAGCAGCTAGCAAACAGCCACGATCTTGATGCGAACCAGCGACTATTGTGACCAAGTCCCAGATTAGCCTTATGATGAACCCACTTGGGCTATCACTCAAGACGATGTCGCTTTCAACCGCACTCGTGTATCCAGAGCCTCAGATGCTAGAGGCATCAAACATGATGTTTTTGGACTGTAAGGCCTTTCTCTTGGCAGTTTGAGTAGGGCTGTAGGGATTGGTTTTGTTGCTGCATCGCTTCGTGAAGATAACCGTTCATCTGAGGTCGTAAGTGGGTTTCCTTGCGTGAGGACCGCAGTGGACGTGTTTGGGTATCCGATGTGCGCAAAGCCACGGAAGAGTGCCACCAAGCAAGCAAGGGAGGCCGTATCTTCTTTTCAATGAACATAATTCTTTGGAACATGAATGCACATTACGAGAATCAGCTTTTTGCGGCAACCAAGGGTCAAAGAACATGTTCAGTACTGATCTTAAAGTGGCACGATGTGGACACTGAGACAGTCAACGGAAGCGCAAAAGTTGGAGCGATTCCTTTGATACACTCGGACTAACATGGAAAGTGGAAGGACCATGGCCCATAGCCCAGACCATTTAAGACTGATCTTGTTACCTCATGTGACCTCCCTCCCCTATGTGAACATGAAATTTCATGCGGAGACCATGGTCGGAACCGACCGTGCCATCCTCAACCACCAACCGTGCCAGGAGTGGTCCAACTTCATGGCACAGCGACAGGCGGAACAGGCGCAGTTCGCTGGCTCGGTCGCCGTGCACGAACGGAACCCGCCGTGCTTCTGCCATTCCGAAGGCCTTAGGAAGGCCCTTTTTGGGGAGCACAGAATGAGTGGTCACAAAAAAAGGTGCTTTTTGTCATAGACGCGTGCAAAGCGCCATGCCACGAGGGGTTCTTGAAAAGAGCTTCAAAACCGAAAAGTCACCCAGGACAGTTTAACGCGTATCAAACACTGAAAGCATCCAGCAAATCGATGGAGTTTGTCCTTTCATTCTCCAAAAAATCTCAACTAAAGCAGGTGGGAATTGACACTAGGTGTCAGGCTTGACTTTGAGCAGTTCTTTTCAAAAAAACACACTGCTTTGGGAGCATGGTAGCACTGAGAAAGTGTAAATCAACGTACAAATCTGAACTATACTTAGGGGTTTCCAACATATTCTTAATTGCATGGGGAGTGGTTTGTAGTAGGAACTATACGGATAATGGATGATTATAGTAAATTCGAAGGTCGCACTCTTCTTGGCAGTTTACACCCGGCACATTCCTGTTGTTCAATGGTCCCGAAACGAGGATGCCTTTGTGGAGAAGCTGATCTCGCAGATGCCTTACCCAGGCGTACACCCAGGCGGATGCCTCGTGCAATGGGTAGGGGATGGCCAGTCATCAATGGGTAGGACACCTGATGTTTGCAAAGGAGACTTGTTTGGTGAAGTGCGGAGCCTGACAGGAACAAAAATGAACGTCGAGTCACCTTTCTTTTGAGGGCATGTGTTGTCCTGGAGTTATATAATCATCTATTTTGTATGCACGTGATGCACAACAAGCGCAGGCGGTGAGGACGTTTTTTCATCTCATGCCACTG